GATGGGGATGAGGGACTCCAATCCAAGATCCAGCTGGTAGTGATATGCCAGATGGTGGGTTCTTTGGTTTCCATCAGTCTCATTCCTAGGTCTTTGCTTCTTGCTTTTTGCAGTTAAAGGAACGTGGTTCTATAAATCCTTGGATCCCTGTGCTGCACAGGTAGGGCAGTCTGCCTCACTTCTGCCTCTCACCTGCTGTCCTCCCCTTTTTTCTCTTCTGGGAGGGGCCACATTAGCAACCAGTGACCTCCATTAATTCATCAATTTCATCACTCTCACTGGGATTCTTTAGCTTTGGGATGGTGGATGGTGAACACCTTTGCTCCCTGGGGCTAAGATACATTTTCTCTTATTTCTGTGTTGACCTAAGTGGCTTTTTGAATGCAGACTTTCCATCTTATTCCATCTTGACTATCTCACACCCCATCTCATTCAGAAGTGTGCAACACTGAGCCAAGAAAACATATGCAAACAATATCAGAAATTAGAAACCATACCTAGCAAGACTCACAAAGGGTTTTAAAAACAAAGATGGGAGCTCAATAAGCAGATCAGCAGAGTGAAACAGAGACACTCATGTGGTTCTTGAGTTTTCAAGTGCGATTTCTGTGTCTCTCTGTGCGCTCACCATTGTGAAGGATATTTCTGGGCGTGGTGCTAGGAATAGTCATATGGAAATAGTGATATTTGTCTGGAAGAACAAATCCAACACCACAATGTTTCTTCCTGCTCCCTTTTGTCTGTCCTCCTCTCATGTTAGACTAAAACTCCCAGCTCCCCATCAAGTTTGACCAGCAACGCCCTCCCCTGGACAGGTCCCCTTCCCACCTCTTCTCCAGGCTCAGTACTGACAGGCCCCTGTCACTCAGCACCTAAGGAGGGAGTCACAGTCACATGGGATATCAGCTCTAAGCCTCCCTTGAGGACAGTGTCATCTGGGTGCAAAAAGACACACTGTCATCATGACCTGGGTCCCCATTGGGAATCCTCCTGACACCGTTACTCTGAAATGAACCCAGTCATGGACAGTAGCCAGGCTGCGAGCCAGTCTGGCACTGCCCTTTATCACCAAAATCACCACCAAGAGCTGGAGTGACCCGTTGGTCCCTAAAGAGCAATGAGATTGTTTGGATTAAGTTCTAGGGCAGTGGTTGTCCAGCATTATGGAGTTGTGGAGTCTGCTTTCAACATTTTGAATCATGTGTGTGTGTGTGTGTGTGTGTGCACGCGGTGCTGGGGATGGAACCCAGGGTCTCCTGCAAGTGCTCTACTGCTGAGCTATGCCCCAGCCCACTTAAACATTTTACCGGTAAGACTTGTGTGTTAGTGTGTAAATAGATGTGTGTGTTATGTGCACACACATGTGTGTATGTGTGCACTGTGGACACAGGCTCGTATGTTACAACTGTATGCATGTGAGTTGTGTATACATGTGAACACATTGTGTTTTTGCATGTATGTGTGTATACGTGCATACATGTGTGCTCTGTGTGTACACATGCATACATATGGATGCATATAGCATCAGAGTAAGGTACAGCTGCTGTGTGTTGGGGGGGAACAACCTCCCTACAGGGCCCCCAGGACCCCCTTGGAATGCAGTTTTGGGCTACTGCTTTCCAAGGCATGGTGGTTATGTACAAAGATCTAAACTGATTGCCCAGGACCGGGCTCAGCCCTTCTGCACTGGCCAGGCAGGGTCATTAACATCCTTTTCTTCTGATCTCCTTCAGTAATCTGGGCTGCTTCTTTTTCTTTTTCTTTTTTCTTTTTTTTTCAATGTTTCTAGAACATCTTTGAAAAGGCCAGCAGGCTTGTCTGCTGCACTTGACCAAACAAGAAGGGCTTTCCCAGTGTCTGTACCCTCACGACTCCCAGCTCTTTTCTCCTGCCTGAGAAACAGGACTCAGGCTGGCTCCTTGGGCTCTACCCCAATAGTTGCCCTCAGCCCAGTGAGCTGTTCCCCGCCCACATCGTTTGCTTATCTTAGGGAGGAAGTGTCAGAGCTCTGAGAGATAAGCCCACAGCGGGTAGAGCTGGCCTCAAATGGGGGTTGAGGCTGGGAACCATGAGACAGGTCTTGGTGTTCTGTCCCAGGGACCTCTCTGGGAGGAGAGGTGACATTGGCTAGAGATTTGGGACTGGAGTTTGTACTCAGGGCTTCATGCTTACAAAGCAGGTTGAGCCTCACCTCCAGTCTATTTTGCTCTGGTTATTTTAGAGATGGGGTCTCGAGAACTATTTGTCTGGGCTGGCCTCGAACTTTGAACCTCCCAATCTCTGCCTCCCAAGTAGCCGGGATTATAGTTATGAGCCACCTGTGCCTAGTGTAGGCTAGAGATTCTTCCTTGCTATCCCTGAGACAAGACAGTTGTGTTATCAATCCAGGCTCTCGAGATGGAACAGAGGATGGAAAGATGGGAGGAAGAGAAAAGAAGCTTTCCTGTGTGAAAGTGAAATTTACCAAAACATTGTCCCAAATCTCCTGTAAGCACTCATTGATTTGAAACCATAAAATAAGATTGTAAAACTGGCTACATAAAATTGTAAAAACTTCTACACAGCTTTAAAAGAAGAACAACCAACAAATACTGTTAAAATCGATAACTCCAAAATGTATTTTATCATAGATCAATACTTATAAAAACTAAGCAAATGATGATACCAAAAAAAGCAAGAAAGACATGAAAAGGAATTCAGAGAAAAAGAAATAGGAACAACAAGAACACTTTGTACCTTTCTCATAAGGAAACGCAAGTTAGAGCAAGCTATCAGTTTTCTTTCACTTCTCAGATTTGCAAAGATTAAAAAGTCTGATAACCAGTCGGCAGGGCGTGGGGAAATAGACACTTTTAGAACCAGTTAGTAGGAGAAAAAACTAACACACCCTCATTGGAGGGCAATTGGTGGTCTCCATCAAAGTATAAAACGTCCATGTCTTTTAGCCCAGCTGCCTCATTTTAGCGATTTGTCAACAATCACTAAGTTATCAGCACTCCTAGTGCTTAGTGTATGCCAGGCTGTTACAAACGCCTTCCACACTCGCACATGTTTAGTTCACACAGCTGCAAGTGGATACTGTACTATTGTCATCCCCATTCTACTGTTGGAGAAACTTAAACGATGAATTCACCCACATACACAAAGATAAAGATGCCCAAGTGTTCTCTGTTGCATTGCTTACAATAGCAAAAAGCTACAATTAGCCTTGGTGAGGTGGCTCACACCTGTAATCCCAGTTTTATGGGAAGTGGAGATCAGCAGGATCATGGTTACAGGTCAGTCCTGGTCTGCCACTCCCCCCCCAAAAAAGTTAGTGAGACCCCCATCTCAATCATTAAGCCAGGCTTGGTGCTGCACATCTGTGGTCCCAGCTATGTGGAAGGCCATAGGTAGGACAATAGAGTCTGAAGCCAACTGAGGGCAAAAACTCAAGACCTATTGAAAAATAGAGCAAAAAAGGACTGGCATTTGGAGTGGCTCAAGTAGTAGACCACCTGCTGGCAAGCACAAGGGTCTGAGTTCAAACACCAGTCTCATACACACAAAAAAAGCTAACAGTAACTACCTGTCCATCATCAGGGTCCAAACACACGGCCACATAGCCAAGCGGTGGAACACGGTGAGATGGCAAGGCCTCTAAGAACTTGTTTAGTGAAAAATATCAGATTTCAGAATATAGTATATATTTATATAGTATAATTTTATATGAATTTAGAATTATGTGCACATGCAACCTGTGGATGTGTTTAACCAATGTTGAACAAATAGGAGGATTTCACAAACAGGAGTAGTAAGTCTAAGAAATGGGGGTGGGGATCACGGGACTGGAGAAGAAGTTATTTATTTTTCATTTTCTTTCTGTATGGTTTTAATTCTTTTCATCTAATGTACAATCTTTTAAATTGAATTAAGCAACACCATATGTAAATACTTGGTGGAGTGCCTGGCACACAGAAGGAGTTAAAGGACACTTCTAGAAGGAAGCATGGTCTTGATGGCAGAGGCTGGCCCCTGCCCATGGGTCACCAGGGTTTTCAAGGTTCATGAGAACCCCAAGTGGAGGAAGTTGGGGGAGATTATTGTGGGTGAGAGGACAGACCAGCAGCCTTACAGAAGAGCATAAGGTCCAAATAGCATTAGGATCCCCTCAAACTGCACACGGCCTGCTGGGCTCAGCAGAGGGCTGCTGGGCTCCGGTGGCCATCAAGGCTGCCAGCTTCCAGGCAGCACGGAACTCCTCTCACAGGGTGCTCTGACTCACAACTCCCCCTTTCTCTCAGAGTTCTAGAAAAGTAAAAAGTATCTCCTCTACCTCATTCTTTGCCTGAGCCAAAGAAGGTATAGCTTCTAGAAAGAGAAGGAAATCTAAGGTGCCCAGCACTTTCTCGTTAGAAATGACCTCAATCAAGACTCGCCCACCAGCTGAGGGATAGAGGCCATGCTTGGGGGGGTGGGGGTGGGGGTGGGGGTGGGAAGAAGCCATAGGGCAAGGTGGCCAGGGGAGGGAGCCAGGTGTGAGTAGGGGGAAGTTCAGCAGAAGAGAGGCACTGAGGAGCCTTGCCTGGACCCTCTGGGCTGGCCTGAGCTCCATTCTCCATGACCCCACCTTGCTCAGCCCCCTGGGAGTCTTCACTCTTCTTCAAACACCCCTTCCTGCTCTATTCTTTGCCAAACACGGCAGCTAGCAGGTGAGGGAGCCCTTCCAGGTGGCAGACACGTTTACATCAGCCCCCATAGCTGTGAGGCACAGAAGTAAATTGTGTGTCTCTGCTCCCATGACCCCACTAGCCAGTTCCTGATGCTCTTTGTGTCATGGGGTGAGCAACCATTGCCTCTGCCCAGGGCCACTGGACGTCAGGGCTCTGCTCCAGGTCATCACCATCAGCTGTGACATTTACAGACTTCATGTGTAGCTGGGTCGGGGGGTCGGTCATCTCAGTTACAAGAAAACTGGATTGTTCTGCAAAGGTTGTAACAAAGTCTCTGATCTATTTCAGGTACAGGAATTGTGTTTACACTTACAGAATCCTGCCCAATGAAGATGAAAAATTCACTGTTCAGGTAAGTCCTTTAAATACCTCGGCATCAGAACCTGACTTAAGCTTGCATTGACAGAGAGAGAGTGACGAAGAAGGAGACACGTGTTCCAAGTAGCCTAATGTAAGGCCTGGCGAGGCCTGTCCTTCTCCCCAAAGCCCATGGCATGGCCTGGTGGTAAATGGTGGTGCTCCAAAGTGACTCTACTCGATGACTTGATGGAGCAGGTGTGCCAGGGACCATTGGTGTCCATGGGCCTGAAAAATGACATTGTGGTGAGGAAGGATGCCCGGGGATGAAGGGAAAGTCCTAGGCTTGTTTGTTTTCTTCCCCCACTCTCCCAAATGAGTGGTGTAAGTGGCCCAGGAAGTAGCGAAGGGATGTGAACTTGCAGAAAGTCTAGATTAGGATGAAACAGCAGGTACCTTCCAACGTGAAGCACTCTCTGCCTACCGCTGATGCTCATGGAATCTGATTTCACCATGTGAAGTCTAACTGTGCTAAACTTGCAGTTGAATTTAAAAAAAAAAAATCAGCTGCACCAACCCAAGCCTGGGAAGACCCGCCTTAAGCACAGTTTGCGGGACTTTGTTTGACCACAATGAGTGGCACCAGAATGATGTGGAGTTAGGGAAGCTATTTTTATCTGGCTGCATTAAGAAAACATGGGGGTTAGAAGAAATGTCCTCAGGTTAGTGTGTGAGTTGCTAAGTGCTTGGGGATCATCTGAACAGAGCAGCCAGGACAGACAAGGACACCATGTCACAGAGGAGCAGTGACGAAGTCTGCAGGGTTTAGTTGAAAAGAAAGTGGAAGTAGCAGGGGAGAGGCAGAGCCCTATTGCCACCTCCTAAAACTTGAAGGGAATGATTCATTTTTTAGGAAGAAATGGTAGATACAGAGCCGAGCACGGGAAGGTCCCTGGGGACAAAATCCCCAATAATGTGTCAAGAGGGAGAACTTATGTTGAGCAGAGTGCCTCTCTGGTAACCAAATATGGAGACCAAAGGAAATCACTTCCACCAGCCACCTGCTCCAAAGCGTGAAACCCTAAGGGGCTTGATCCAGCCTAGGAGTCATGGAGCTACATTCTGGGGGGGGCTGTCTGCTCCCTCGGGGCTTCCATAGGAAAGCAAGTTTGGGCTCAAGCAGAATTGCTCCACCTGATAGCAGTCAAGCTGAGCCTTGCTCTGCCTTCTGGCTTCTTCCCACCTGTGCGTCTGCACCAGTATCTAAGAAGGATCCACTGGAAGTTGGCTGCTTAGTCTGGGATGCCTCCCTGTCTTGGCCTGGTCAAGTCACCAGGACAGGTGTCAGCACACTTGGGTAGGACTATCTTTTCAAGTATTTGGCAGCTGTTTGTCACTGGGATGTTTTCTCTGATGTGGGCTCCTCACCTTCTAGGAACTTGGAGGGCCCAGGGGAAGCCTGCTAGGGGTGGGCAGTAGGCCTCAAGTGGTGTCTACCATTTTGTTGAAGTCTAGGACTGCATGAACTTTCCCAGATGGGTTGGTGTTCTTCCTAGGTGGTTTCTGAGAGAAGTCTCTATTCTCTTAGTTAAAAGTTGGTCGTCAACGCCTTTGATCTTTTTTCCCCTGTGGTTTCTTCTATTCCTTCAAAGTGAAGAAGACTTTAAATATGACTGGAAAAGACGTGACTTTGTGGCTTCTTGTGTAGGGTTTGTACCCACGGCTTATAAATGTATAGACTGTGTCTGGAGTCTGTGTCCCTCTAGTCTTCACACTCTTGCTGCGGTGGCTTCCTGTGACGCTGGGAATCGTCACAGTCCTACCTCAGCAGGCTTTGGGGTTGCAAAGACTAAAGACTCACTCAGAGTAACTCACGTAAGGGGCAGTGTGGGGGGAAAGGCCACCCAGGAACCCAGGGCTTGGGACCAGAGTAGCTTGGGGCCCCGGCCTGGGTTCCACCCCCGTGACTCAGCTCCTCTCTGCGGTTTGCCCTTCCCCTCCCAACAGGCTCCCTTCTCAGGTCACAGTCCCCAGAGGGTGTCTGATTGGCTTTGCCCCTAACGGCTTTCTCTGCCTGGGCGGTTCAGAGGTCACTGGTCTATGTGTGGCTTGGCCATCTGGAAACAGGTGCCTGCCCAATACTGGGAGGTGGGGTCAGTAGGAGCCCCCTAGGGCCATCTCAGTCATGGTAGTTTCATAAAAGAGATGAGGCCTCGCTGGACACATCTGTGTCTAATGTGGCACCTGCCCTATGAGCTCTTTGGTAGCTGACACCAGATAATTAAGGGACAGGGAGCCATGGGCATAGGTGGTCTAAGGAAATTTCCATCTGTATGTCTTACGGGTGGAAACTACCTGCTACAAAATACACCTCCTAAAATAAATGGTAGCAGGTGTCGGCTGGGGACCTGATGAATGCTCTCACCCAATTGAGCCAAGTCAGAGTCTGCTGAGGAACCCGTTAGTTAATGATCGCTTCTTATTTTAACTCAAGTTCCTCTTTTCATGTTGAGGCACAATGTCACACTTCCCTGGGCTTAGCCACAGTTTCTGAATAACTCATTCCTTATACCTGAGTAAGGTGTAAGCAGAATAAGAGGCTCCCCCCAAAAAAGCAGCTGACCAGAAACATTGCCAGGTGAAGCAATGTGAGAGGTTCAGTTATCTTGGCTCCTCTCAAGGGGGCTTCGTGTGCATACCAAAGAGACACCCCATCTTTGTTCTTTGCTGAGCAGCTGCAAATAGTCAGTTCATACCCCATGGCCTATGATGGCCCCATCGGTCAGAGGGAGGCAGGACTCATTTTCTCTCAACTCCATCTTTTGTGAACTTACAGAGTCTGAGATGGGAAGGAAGGATGCAGACAGAAATTTCATCCAATCCTCCTGTTTTACACATGAATATTGCTGAGACCTGCAAATGTTGGGGCTCACAGCCCCACCCCCAAGCTAAGCCTTTTTACCCCTCATCGCTAGAATGTGTTTCCACACCCGGCTGAGCGCTGAACCTCCGGGCAAGGTCAGGCCCAGGGCTCTTCCCTGAGGTGTGGGAGGCAGGGCTGTGGCCTCTCAGCAAGCTTGGCCCTTTTCCTTCACCCAGTGAGAGATGGCATTGGATCACGAATGACACTTGGTCCCTGTGGTAAGCCAGCCAAGTTCCTGGAAGCAAAACAGATGCCTGTCCCAGCTGGGGGGCAGGTGCAATCCAGGTTTTGCAGCCATGTGGCCTTGACAGGGCCTGCTGGGAAATGCTGTTGAAAAGTGGAATCTCCCACCTGCGTTCTCTGCTGTGGTCAGGATTCTGTGAAGACAGTGGAGGTGGAATCCCCTCCCACTTGGGGAACTGTGTACATGGGGACCGTCCTCATTTCTAGGGAAAGGGGAGACATAAACCCAACAGCATTGGGTTAACATTCAACTCATTAACATCCATTAACGAGTGTAAATCTACTAATGAGGTAGGGGCAGAAAGGAAAAATGGAAGAAAATGAGGTGAAAAAAAAGAGTGCAAACAAGAGAAGAGACATGAGAGAGAAAGGACGAAGAAAAATTGGGGGAAGAAAGAGGAAGGCTATAGGTTAGGTGGGGGGGGTTGACAGAAGGAAAAGGATGGGGTGGGGCAAGGAGACAGCAGAGGAAGCAGTGGAAGAAGAGGGAGATGAGGTGTTCTAGAAGATTCTAGGCAGTACTGAGGTGTGGCGGTAAGAGGCCAAATTCTGTGGAGACTGCCAACCCTTGGCTCTGCTCTGTGGGCTGTGAACTCCATGTCTGCAGTGACCCCACAAGCCTGGGGCATTGTGAAGCAGGTCCTCAGACTGGGAGAACCTTCTAGACTAGAGCCTGTCCTGCCATCCTCAGTGTTCTGAGTGCTGTGTGAGGCCAGAGGAAAGCAGGACACCCAGCCCCTCAGGCCCCAGGTTCCCACACTCAGAGAGGTTTCTTGTAAAGCCCAGACTCCTTTTCTGGGCTGGAAAGGGAAGTGACTCTCCCTCAGGGAAGGGGCACCTATCTTGGGCCGATGACTACAGAGTGAGCTGTTGGACTGCCGCCTCCTTTTTGAAATGACCCTGCTCCCTGGGAGTCTGAGGGGGACAAACAGTCCTGGCAAGCATTTGCAGCATGACCAAGGGAGAGGCCATCGGGCTCTGAGCCTTCAGATGTATCCCATCCATGGCTGCCCCAAGCCAGGGCCTCGACTGAAGTGAACAGAACCCTTTGGCTCCATCCCGCACTCCGCCACCTCAGCCCCACTCCCTTCCTGACACTCTTCCTACTAAGAAAGGCAGAAAATAAACGCTGCTCCTGACCCATCAGGTGGACACTCTCTGTGTAGCCAGGCTATGGACGGGGAGCCCTCAGGGTTGGTGTCCATGAAGGGGGAATTGGAGATGATCTCGCTGAGAGCCTCTTAGCTTCCTCATCCTCAGTGTAGAGGAAAAACCCACTGGTTGAAGCCATTGGAGAGCCCTGGAGTTGAGACTCATGACTCAAGTTTCTGGTCCCAGTTGGTGGCTGGTGTGTTGCTCTGGGTAGCACAAATTCTGATGAGGGAAACACAACAACCTTCTAGAAGCTGTCCTGTCACAAGCGTCCGGGCGGGTGAACAGTTGAGTCGTTGTTATTAAACTCAGGAAGTGAGTGGCAGCTGTTATTGTTCTGAGTGGTCACCAAGTGAAGTCAAGATTCCGTCTGAGCTGCTGGGCAGAGGATGTAGCTTGAACACACACTTCCTGAAGTTTCTCCAGGAGGGGTGCTGCATGGGCTCAGGCGACAGAAGCTAGTTCTGCCAGGACCCCCAGCCACATGGTCCCCTCGGGGTCTCTTTATGTCATGACTGCCACAATCTAGGAGCCTGCTTTTTTCTTTTTTTTTTTGTTGTTGTTGTTTTTTTGGCTGCTGCTGAACACAGACAGATCTGTTTCCTAAGCCTCTGAATACCTCAAAACATCTTGTATGCCTTTGTGTTGGAAAGGGAACTGGATGGATATAAAATTCTTGGGACCAAGTTTTCCTTCAACATTCCCTAGAGATATTGTTGTTCCCCTGCCTTCTAGAA